AAATGCTGGGTGAGCATGGCAGCCTGCCTGAATTCAATCCCAGCCTTGGACGGTAGAGACTGGCGGGGGGGGGGGGGGTCGTCTTCCAAACAAACTAGCTAAAGTGCCAGCCATACTGGTGAGGTCAGGTTTGACCCTGCCTTGAAGGATACTGTGGAAGAGAAATGAAGGGCAACTACTGACATCAACCCCGAGCCTACACCACACACACACACACACACACACAGCTGCCAACATACATGCAAACATGTATGTCGCAAATACATGAAAAAAAGAAAAAACAAAAAGAAATACATGTACAAGTAGTGAAAAGAGAAAATGAAAGGAAAAGAGGGACACAGAAAGGAGCTGCAGGATTCAAAGCAGATGAAAGAAATATTTGATATAATGGTGGTGATTATTATGATGACGTGATGATGGTGGTAATGTCGGTTGATAAAGATGGCGATGCTGGTGATTATGGTGATGACAGTTGATGCTGACGATGGCTGCTGCTGGCAATGGTGGTGATGGCTGATGATTATAGAGATGATAATGGTCATGACTAGGGTGATGGTTATAAAGTTTTCAAAAAGCGATCTTTTGAGAAGTATGAAGGAGTGAAGCAAGCACCATGACAGAGGTGGCCCACCCTGGGGTCTGCTGTGTCGTGTGTTTGGTCAGAACACTGTTGCAGACGTTTTCAGTTGGGGATTCTAAATGAAAGCCCTAACTTCAGGCTGTCACAGGAGTACCCTGACTCTCTTACCGGCTTCCTGTCAGGAGCCACACATAGAGCTGTGGAGACAGGGCTCATTTCTAGCTCTTCGAACTTTCTGTGTCTCAGAGAGTCTCAGACTGCTTCTTAGCCATCTTCGCATTCCCATGGCATCAGGATCTCTCAGAAGGCTGGAGAAACTGTGCTGCTCTAGGCCTTGAGTACAGTGGATGTACTGAGCTTTGGTATAACAGACGGCAAAGAGCCCTTTGCTCTCAGGGGCTTCTAAAATTTAAATTAATTATTAACCGTGTGCGCGTGTGTGTGTGTGTGTGTGTGTGTTCATGTGTATCTATGTACAGGTGAGGTCATAAACGAATACAAGTGTGCACATGCATGGAAACTAGAGGACAACCTTGGGTATCGTTTCTCCGGCCCTGCCTATCTTGCTATTTTGAGACAGGATCTCCCTTGCCAAGTAGGCTAGACTGGCTGGCCAGTGAGCCCTAGGGATCTATGTCTCTATACCTCCCCAGTACTGGGATTATAAGCATATGACACCATGCCAGCCTTTAAAAAAAAAAAATAACAAATAGGGGGCTGGAGAGATGGCTCAGTGGTTAAGAGCACTGGCTGTTCTCCCAAAGGTCCTGAGTTCAACTCCCAGCAACCCCAGCCATCCGTAATGAGATCTGGTGCCCTCCTCTGGCCTGCAGGTGTATATGGAGGCAGAACACTGTATACATAATAAATAAATAAAAATCTTAATGAAAAATAGACAAATGAAATGTAAAAACAAACTTGGATTCCGGGGATCAATTCGGGTCCACAGTATTTACTGACTAAGCCCCAATCCCCTACCAGACTTTTACTCAACTCATACAAGCATTTTAAAAAAGTAATATTAGCCTGGCACTGTGTTAAGGCCTACAACCCCCGCTACTAAAGGATGACATAGGGGGATTTCAACTTCAAGGTCAAAATGACCAACATAAAACCACCGCAAGCGACAACAACAAAACCCAAAGCAAACGTGGGCAGAGTAGTTGGAAAAAGCAGCTGCTACAAGAAAACATGCATTAGCATCTGTCCAGGCCCTGCCATTTTTTTCCACTGTCAGGCACCTATGACTTGGGGCATTGTCTGGGAGAATTCATGAAGGATCAAAACTGGCAAGTTCTCACTCATTGTCTCATCAGCAGAAGCCTCTTTTACTTGAGTAGGGAATTTTCCCTTCACTAAGCCGATCCCATATATGTGCGTACAGATACACAAATGTATCTTAGAGGTGCAAAATTGGACAGTTCCTTCTTTAAGAACAATTGACAAGGAATGAAAAAGAAGATATTAATTCTAAGAAACGTCCTATCTGTGTGTGGCAGAGACAGGTATCAGCTTCTGAGAAATGATGCACTCTGGCAGAACAGTCATGTGTCAGGCTCTGCCATCCATCAGCTGTGAGGATAGACACTTTTTTCCTCTGAAGAGGATAAATGGACTAGAACAGAATCAAAGAGAGAGAGAAATGAGGCATTTTAACTTTCCCCAAAGATCTGTGAAGTTTTAGGGATAAATACCCAAGAAGAAAAATCTTGTCAGGTAGGATTGATTCATCCAGGCTGGAGAGATGGCTCAGTGGTTAAGAGCACTGGTTGTTCTTCCAGAGGACGTGGGTTCAGTTCCCAGTAACCACATGGCAGCTCACAACCGTGATGATATTTTGTTTATGATCTAACAAAGTTTGTATGAAGATCAGAGTGCAAAGCTAGCCATACTAGTCAGCCATAGGGGCCAGGCAGTGGTGACACACACCTTTAATCCCAGCAATCGGGATACAGGATCTCTGTGAGTTCAAGGACACCCTGGGCTACATGAAAATGATCCAGTCTAAAAGAGAAACAGCTCACACAAAGGTGATCCCAGCACTTGGAGTGACACACCTTTAATCCCAGCATGAAGGAGGTGGAGACAGGAAGGGGTATGGCTGGGTAGAGAGAGGAAAATAAGGCAGGAGGGGACAGGAGCTCAGGGCAGTCTGGCAGTCTGAGGCAGGAGTCTGAAGCAGGCAGTGTGAGGGTTCGTAGAGACAGGATCTCCGCTTCAGGCTGAGGACTCCGTAGAGGTGAAAGGTCTCTCTAGCTGGCTGCTCTGCTTCTCTGACCTCTAATATCTGACTCCGGGGTCTTATTATTAAGACCTATGAGAGTCGGTGCAACACACAACTATTACATAAATCTTTAAAGAAAGATTGGCTCATCCGGGGTAGCCAGGGCTTGTCACTTTGCCTGTAGTTGGCCCCTCCTCCTTTGCGTCCTCAAGCTCATGTTCCATAGCCACCATGCTTATACCCCCCTTACGGCTGGAGAAAATGGTGTGACTCCCATCTTACAGCGAATTCCAGTTCCATCCCTCCGTTATACAGGTAGCAAGCAGCAGAGCTGACCCCACCCCCCACCCCACCCGCAGCCCAGGTTAGACTGTAGTGCTTGCATGCACTGTGGTACCAAAGGACTACAAAGTTTGAGCCTTAACACAACACAGGTATCTTACAGTTCAGAAGGTCACACATTAAAAGTGGGTTAGCTTCTAGAAATTTCCACCGCTTTTCTGAGGCTGTGTATTACTTAGTGTCTGGTCACCATGGTCAAGTCTATCAGTATCCATCTTCAAGCCTGCCCATCCCTCCCTCTCCCCTCTAACATCTGCTCCCAATGTCACCCCTTCCTTTCCAGCTCTGTCCCTCTCTCTTCTTCCTTTGCAATGACCCTTCAGATGACATTAGACCTCCACAGATACCTCAAGGCCACCTCTCCACCTCACCCCCTCACAAGGCCTTCTTTAGGTCACCCACACGTAAGGTCACATGTTCAGTTTCTAGGGTGACAAACACCTGTCCTCGCCTGCAATGCTCTGCAGCTTCGTAAATCCCCCAAAGTGGTCCAGGTAAGGAGATAAAAACCCTTATTCTTTTCACATGAACCGACGCACAAGCCACACACACGCGTGTGAGTTAACATCTCTGTGATACAACACTGAAGACCGGGTCCTGTGGGTCCCGTGCATCCTCCCCACATGTCCTAGTCCCTCATACACGTCTCCCTCCCCCTCCCCCCCCCAAGTGCTCACTCCCTGCCTCCTTTGGCTTCTGCCAAAAACTTCAAGTCCACTTTAGTGTGGAGGTGACTCAGGCGCTCCCTGGAGAATGGAAGTGTCTTTTTAGAGCACACTTTTGTGATTTAAGGAACAAAATATTAATGAAACAGCTGCAGCATTATCTGTGCTCAGAGGGGATTGGCTTTATGCGAACCCTTGCCTTACAGTCCCTGAGGACTGTGCTGTGGCTTTGCAAAAATAAACAAAAGCAAACCCAGAGAATAGTTATCTTCCAGGGCGGTTAAAAGCTCCTTGGGTGTTCCCTCCTGGGACCTCTGGGCTTAGTGCCCTCTCCTCCTTCTTGCTTTTAGCGACAAAGGTAAACTTCCTCCTGTCTTACCAGGTGGGAAGGACTGTGAAACATCAGAGCCGCTGTGGCATTTCTGTAGCCAACAACTTATGAAGCAGAAAGTACAATACTTCATTTTTAAAAATGTGGGCGTGTGTGTGTGCCTGTGTGAGTGTGTACACTGTGGGCATGCAGGAGCCCGTGGAGGCCAGAAGGCACCAAATTCTTGGAACTGGCATCATAGATGGCTGTGGACGGCCGTGTGAGTGCAGGACCTTGGACCCAAAGCCTGCGGGAGAGCAGCAGGTGTCCTTAGCCACTGAGCCATCTCTATAGCCCTAGAAGAGGTCGTCTTCCTATAAGGGCTATTGATTAGATTGGCCTGGAAGTAGGTAGGAGGGTTGTGAGCTCCATCCCTGTAACTGTGATCTCTGTGATGTCTGAGGCTTCTCCAAAACCACATAGGGAAGGAACTCCTGCCTGCAGCAGGGGGGTGTGGCTGCATCAGCCATCAGATGTCATCGACTGTCATCAGCTGCCCTAGACCACACCTTGCTGTACCATGTGACAGAACCAATGAGCTGCCAAGTGGGGTCTAAGTCAGCTATGTTGACCCCAAAGCCGGACCATGGACGCTCCCATCCTGTCACTTATTCTTATCTGCTGTAAAGCCATGGCCAGCTGCTATTTGCATTTAGAGAAGCTGTGGGGATCCAGGAAGAAACCATCCATCCCTGAGTCAGAACGGGCTGAATCAGGTCCTTCCCAGAGCTCAGAGGAGAGCAAGAACCCTAGGGCAGGCAGCTCCTGGTGACCTGACACTCTGGCAGAGCAGTCTGCCCACAGCCACACAGCACTGACCTTCATCATACCGTTGAACCACCTGGGTGGACACCATCGCTGGGTTCCCATTCTGAACACGCTCATTGTCTGCCATCACCTGTAACAGAACAGACCGCTTTAGTGGTCAGGTCTTGGAAGGGGGAAACACATGGGAGACCCTCCAGGCTACAGGAACCCCTTCCAACGTCAAAATTAAAAGACTGTATTTGTAGAAAGCGCCAGCTTTCTATCCAGACGTGGAGTAGCGAAATGACTCACTCAGGCTGGATTCCTGTCAGACCAGCACTCCTGGGGTCATGCGCCACCTTAGCAGCCTCACACAGGTGGTCACACCCCACAGTACACGTGGGATACTGAGGCCCAAAAGGGACACTGTCTAACAAGCAACAGAGCAAGCATCTAAAACTCCATTCAGTGGCCTGCCAGGGACTTCTGTCTATCTTGGCCACACAAATGTAACCACTGACCATGCTTTAATGAACACGCCAAGTAATGAAAGTTCGCTGTGTACATATGTGTTTATGTAGATGCACATGTGTAGTGAGATAGTCCTTCTGTGGCACTCACCACGCCCATTGGGGGGTGGAGCCATGGGCGGAAGTGACCTGTGGAAGGAGGTCGGAGGGGGCCAGGAAGGCGCTCTCTTTCTGGCGTGACTCGGACAGGAGAGGATCGGGTTGGACAGGAGAGGATCGGGTTGAATTTTCTGGTGTTCATCTGTCTAGGTTGTAAGTTATTTCTCCCTGAATAAACATCTATTTGGCCTATTTGTTTATCCTGATCCTTGGAGCTCACCAAGTAATCTACATTAGCTAGCCTACAAGCCGCCTGTTTCCACCTTCTCGGAGTTGGTATATACAAGTCTGGCTTTTTTTTTTTTTTATGTGGACTCTGGGAATCGAACACAGGTCCTTGTGTTTGGAAGGCAAGCACTTTATCGACTGATCTTGGCCTCAGCTCTTGACAGGCATCTTTTAGAGGAGAGCCACCAGTGCTATGTGTGCTTTATCGACAAGCTTTGAGAACACTCCCATACACTTTGATTTCCACACAATTTCGGGTTAAATTGTGCAGTAGGAATTTGTTTCCACCAACAGTTTCAGGGTCTTAGGGCGTGGCTTCGGTGTGCCGACGTTATCCCTTATAAGGAAGAGGATAGGTTGTGCTGGCTCTATCTTGGGCTGAGACGTGGCCATCATCCTGTACTGTATCCTCCAAGGGAGGAAGAGTATGGTGGTGGTTTACCTTGCAGTGTTAGTGCTCCCTAAATAAAAATATTTGTTATTCTTTTACTCGGGCGTTGGCGGACTTCCTTAATCCGCCCACAAAATTGTTCTATGGAGAAAACCAGATGCTGCACGTTTAGACGTTTTCCAGAGGTTCAATACAGCTAAAGGCTTGCCTAGGGTTGCCAACCTCAGCACTGTAGCACTCACAGTAGGTAATTCTTGGCTATGTGTGTGTCCTGTGCACTGTAGGATGGAGCACTATTCTAATTCACTTTTATCAATGAAAAATCGGGAGTCTGATACCAGGGTCAGAACCCGAAAGATCGGAGATGGGAGAGCATCCGCTACTCGCCTCCCACCTCTTTCCTTCCTCTGTCCAAAAGGGCGGAGATCCTCTCTCAGCCCCGCCTTACTACTTCCTGCCTCCTCTCTGTCTGCAGTCCTCCAAACCTCTATGGCTAATTTTGGTCAGCCGGTGGCTTTCTCCACCCTCTGACTCCAAGCACACTTTATTTGTCAGAACACAATCAAAACATCACACAACAGTAGGACTGCCAGCGGTAATTGTGTCCTCTGCACCAGATGTCAGAAACAGCCCCTTCCTTAGCTGACTATCAAAAACATCTCCACATACTGTCCCGTGCCCCTAGGGGGAGCAACTGACAAACAAGTCTGCATTTGGAAACTGACCTTGAACTAGCTACCAAATTGGCTCCCTGGCCATCTCCCGAGGTCGTTGAAGACACAGGCTTCACGGACCACCATTTCTTCGAATTGCTAGTCTTACATGGCATCTCAGTATGCATTTTGTGGAGGGGCTGTACTCATACATGCCCATGCATGTGTGAACAGATGTCGAGGGCACAGAGGGACCCTTATGTCTCTGTCCTGCCACACCCAATTTTTTCTGTGGGTGCTGAGGATCAGAGCTCAGGTTCTCATGTTTGCATGGCAGGCATGCTACCCCCTGAGGCCCCTCCCCACCACAGGACCTGCCTCTTTCACTAGCTCCTTGGTAGGTTCTAGGACATCAGCTACCGCAGGCGCAGTGGCCTGTACACACCATCTCCTCATTGAGCCCTGGGAAGGCAGAGTATTATTAGACTCTACTTTCTGGTATCCATGTGCCGTTACCTTGTAAGTGTCTGCTTCTGGTTCCCTCTCCTGGACTTCAGTTCTCAGCGGGACGCTCATTTGGTTGCCCATTTTTCCTTCAATAGAGAAAAGGGAGGGGGAAAAAAAGTTAAAACACAAACCTAAGTCTTAGTGCCTGCCTGTGAAGCCGAGATACAGAGACACAGAGACACACACACAGATGCAGAGACGCAGAGACACAGAGACACAGAGACAAGCTCCCTGAACTGGTCGGCCCCTGGCACCAGGCTTCAGCCTTTTTCTTCACAATGAAACTCTTGGGGAAAATCCCAATGTCTTGGGTACCGTTTAAATTTTTTGTTTGTTTGTTTGTTTGTTTTTGTTTTTCAAGACAGGGTTTCTCTGTGCAACAGCCCTGGTTGTCCTGGAACTCGCTCTGTAGACTGGGGTAGCCTTGAACTCAGAGATCCATCTGCCTCTGCCTCACGAGTGCTGGGATTAAAGATGTGTACCACCACTGCCTGGCTCTTAAAAAATATTTTTTAAAGGTTTATTCATTTTTATTTTACACGTATGGGTGCTTTCCCTGCACACATGATATCTGTGTGCCACGTGCGTGCTGTGTCCTCAGGGGCCAGAAGAGGGCTCAGGCTTCCCTGGAACGGGAGTTACAGAGCTGTGAGCCATCATGTGGGGGCTGGGAATCGAACCCTGGTCCCATGGAAGAACTAGGGAGGAAGCTAGTGTCTCTAGAGCATCTTCATTGCTAACAGGGCAGGGTACAGCTCAGACAAGCACAGCCATGAGGTAATGCTGACGGCGCCAGCTGCTGAGGACTTTCCCTGTGAGGAGACGCTGTGTAGCTTTGCACCGAGTCAAACTCACTGACTGCTTGTAACATGTCAGCAGGACCATGAGACTATTGTCCTGAATTCCCAGATGGGGAAACTGAGGCATGTAGGTTGAATATCTTGGAAAAGGTCGTGCATAAACATATGCACACACAAGAATACATTTCTGCACGGGGCACACATAATGGCTCCATCCAGTTTTCAAATTTAGCTTTATACAAGTTTAAACACTGTTATTTAACAATTCAACTAAGGGGGCTTGCAAACTTAAAAGCCCCGATTGTTCAATCCAAGCTAGCTCTTATTTAATGGCTACTTTGGGGGCCTGTCTGTGTGTGTGCAAGTGCGTTGGATCTGCACCACATCTGGGTGACTTTCTCAATTGTCTCCACCTTATTTTTGACAGAGTTTCTCACTGAACTTGGAACTCCCTGGACCAGGTGGACTGGCGAACAGGCCCCAGCAATCTTCCTGCAGCTACCACCCAGTGCTGGGATGGTAGGTATGTGCTCTCCTTTTTTCTTGGGTGTGGAAATCTGAACTCAAAACCTCACGCTCATGTACAAGCACTTGGCCTACTGAGCCAACTCCCCCACCGCTTGGTAATTACTTTCAATACACATTGAAGGTTAAAAATATCTTGGGCTGGGAGATGTGTACTACCCACAGTCAGGAGCCATGTCTTTTCATCTTACAGAGCTGAGGCTACCTGGCTCTTTCATTGTATACTCTAAATAGTCTTTCTGCAACTTCAGGGCGACGGGGAGCAAACAGTGTTCTGACAGACAACACTGCTTTTCTCCAGCAATCAGAAGGTCCCTCTAAATCTATCCCACCTGTCCATCAACTGTTTAAAACAACAGTATTTAAATCAATCCAAAGCAAGAGGTTTACTGTCACCTACTGGCAGACATAAGTGCAACAGAAATGAATCCTTAAGCCTAGGGGCTACGTTCAAAGGACCTGGAGGTTGAAGGGAGCAAGCAGCATTTAGAACATCTGTTAACAGCTGGCAGGAGGGTGGCAAGGCTTCCAAGGTCCTAGTAAAACAAGGTCTAGTAAAACAAGAATGACAGCCATGCCTGACGGGTCTGGAGAGCTCACACAGAGGCTGCAGATGGCGCTAGGTGAACGCAGTGGAACATGGGATTGCAAAGTGGGCTCTAGAGTTTACATTCCTCTTCTGCTCACCACTTACTGAAAACCTTGACCCTGGACAGGTCCCAAAGCCCCAATGATCTCCAGTCTCATCATCCATGTGATGAGAGTTTTTAATTTCTATATGCCTAAAAAATGTGTGTGTGAGTGTTTGGTTCACATATATGTATGTGTATTGTGTGTATGCCTGGTGTTCAAGGAGAGCGATCAGAAATGCGTATTGAATCCTTTGGAACTGAAGTTACGGATAGTTCTGAGCTGCCATGTGGGAACAGGGAACCATACCCATCTTCCACAAGAGAAGCAAGCACACTTAACCCTGAGTAACATCTCCAGCCCCGCACACTTTCAAAAATGTTTGTGTTTCTTCTTTTAAAGAACTTTCTATTTATCTCACTAGCTCATTTACAGATTATCAGTACTTCTATGTGTGAGATTTTTGTTTTGGTGTTTAATTTGTGCACAGTTTTACATATTCTGGATATTATAGCTGGCCAAGGTTTTTCTCCTACTCTGCACAGGCTGTCACCCTGCGCTGATGGTAAGATCCTTTGTTATGCAGTGACTTTTAAACTTCATGTAGTCTGACTTGGTAATTTGTGGGGCTATTTCCTTTGATTCTGAAGTCCAGTTCAGAAAGTTCTTGCCTATAGCATAGAAGCAGGCAGGGATCTACTAGGAGGAAAGCATTTGAGGGGTAACAGGACTTGGGGAGGGGAGAGAAGGAAGGAGGATAAACAGCAACAAGAAATGTTTGACGCCATCATATGAAACCTAACACATTTATGCTAACTTAAAAATTAATTAATTAATTAATTAATTAATTAATTAATTAAGGATACTAGGTCCCATCTCAAGAGAGTACTGTGAGAATTAAGTGAGTGCATATGTTCAAGGTGCTTCCCCAGGGCCTGGCGCACCATAGTGCCACCCAAACGCTAGCCACAAACGGGGTCATCTTTGTTGATGTCCTTGCTATTTCTGGCCAGTTTCCCTCAGAGTGATGAGACCCCGCTGAGGAATCTGCTCTTGACTGCCAACCATGTGACCTGTGAAAAGGTGAGTATCTGTCATTAAGGCCCCAAACGCCTGTCTGTGGTATTTTTGTTTTTGCAGCCTGAGCAGGCTAAAGGGTTGGGGCATGGCTCTGGAGGTAAAATGCTTGCCACCCAAGAATGAGGCCCGAGTTCAAGCTCTGGTTCTTCTGTATGTAGCTGCTGCAGCGGTATGCACCCCGAATCCCAGCACTGAGGAGGCAGAGACAGGCAGATAACTGGGCACATATCCCAGCACCGAGGAAGGACAGAACGGCATCTCTCTGGGCTCACTGGTCAGCCTGTCCAGCCTGCTTTGTGAGCTCCAGACCAGTGAGAGACCCTGTCTCAAGAAAGCTCTCTCACAGAGGACCCTATTTCAATTCCCAGCACCCACACGGTGGCTCACGACTGTTTGTAATTCTAGTTATCATGAATAATATCCATTTCTCATCATGGTGCCTTGAACTCAGCCGCTCTGGGCTCAGAGTCTTGCAAATGAGCCACTCGGGGTGTTGCTAAGAAACACCTCTTGATTGACAGATATGACTGTATCCTTGCCCCTCATTTCAACTGCGGATCAGCAGGGATCCCTGTTCCTGGGATGGGGATAAATGTATACACCATTCTAGTCTGCCTTAGCAAAAGAACATCTCAGAGAACTTCCTCCCAGCAGGCAGCTAAATGCCTGCTGGGTGCAAGGGGAGAGTCTGGGAGGGTGGAATGGTGACAGGATTACTCACCCAGCAAACAAGAAGTCACCTTTGATCAATGCACTGGAATGTAGACAAAACCACAAACCATCCACTGCTCCACCGAGAGTGGTGCCAACATGGCCAGGCTGGCATGCTGGGCAGCACCAGGCTCTCTCCCAGTCCCTAAAGCAAGGGCGGGGTTGCTGGCGTGAGAGTAGACCACCGTCTAGACCCTGGGTGCCTGGCACAGTGCTGGGCTTCGGTGGCTAACACCAGAGGGCTATGCGCAGAGGTGCAGGTGGCTTCCTGTATGGGGCTCTGGATAGAAGACCCCCGTCTCTGACCTCCTTACCCCCAGCCCGGCATGGGATGCCTGGAGTCCAGGGGAAGGGCTTCCTGCTGGGTGTCTAGGAATGTTTGGTGACATGTGTGTTGTTTCTGTGACACACCATTGCTTTTGCATATACAGTGACTGGTTCTAGAAAGTGGGCAGCTTACTGCTTTAATTTTCTTTTGTTCTCTCTCTCTCTCCTCTCCTCTCACCCCTCCGTACTAGGGATTGGACCCAGGGCCTCAAGCGCTCTACCACTGAGCTACATCCCAGTCCCCAGTTTGTCTGTAAAGAGACAATCTCACTAGGTTGCCTAGGTTACCCTTGGGATGACTCTGCACCCCCGACTCCCCCCCTTCCCCCCCCCCCCCCGCTCTCCTTGCTTCAGACATCCCAGAGTAGGGGTGGCGGAGAGAACAGGCCTGTACCACTAGGCCCAGACTTGATTATTCTTGTTCTGGGGACGGAACCAAAGGTCTTTAAATGAAGGATGGGGGAATGCCTTGAACTGGAAGCATCCGGTGCACTGTGGGGCCGGCACTCACCCACCTGGGTGCCCTCGCATGGCAGGCAGCTGTCCTTCTTAAGGCCTGGGCAGCCACAATGTGAGCGAAGAAGGGAATGCCTCCTGCAGTTAGCTGCACGTGTGTGCTCGCCTCACATAGCCTGGCCCCAATTCCGGGTGTTTGTTGCCCTTCTAAAAAGCTCTGCTTCCCTGTTCTGTAGAAGAAGGAGCCTAGCCTGGTCCTGCAGCTACCTCCCCCACCCCCATAAGCAGGTGATCACCAAAAAGGCCATACCTTGTCTGTCCTTCCTGCATCCCCCCATGCCTCACTTCCTGCTTGTTGGTTAAATGGAGAGAGGCATAGATGGGGTTCGAACCTAGGTCTGCGAGGACTCAGCAGACTTTAGTCGCTTGACTGCTCAAGGTTGGGTTGAAATAAAGAAGCTGCTGGGGGGGGGGGGGGGGGGGGGGGGGGGGGGGGGGGGGGGGGGGGGGCTCACTGTCAGATACTGTGCAGGACACCAGCGGGGGCAGAGCC